TATTATTAATAAAATCTGAACTATAACATTTTATACACCCATGCCAAAAACAACCATGATATTGATAGACTGTATTGGTCTTTTCATCAAAGCCATCAACTTTTGATCCACATATTTTCACTTCACCATTGTTTAATGCGTGTTTGATATCAGGATTATTCAGACTATTTAGCCATGAAATTGATTGTTGAGAATATTTGTCGWTGTTTGGCTTGTCAACAARAGCTATTGTATTAGTTTTAATAAATTTTGATCTGTATACAGCCATGCAGGTACCYGCAATTGTAATATATCTAAATGGYTCTATATTAGCGATTTCTAAAAACTGTTTCCTTAACTCGAGACATCCATTTCTTAATATATCAACATCAGAATTARAGTAATCATAAAGTTCTTTTTTAAAATSAAACACATAGTTCTCRTTTCTCTTTTGTTTATGCCATTCTAAAAACTCTTCCCTTTCTTTTGGTTTCATAGAATTAGCACCATAGTATTTTGTATCAGGTATTTTTCCAATATAGTTCTGATTTTCTATTGTATTAAAATAATGTGGAAAATATCCTTTTTTAAGTTCTTTTAGACCGAATGTTTTGGGGAAGTTTTTTAAAGGTCCTTGAACAAAATTACTACTATCAATAATTCTTAAATTAATTGCTTTTATTTCSATTAGCATTATTTTAGATCCATTATATATACAGAAAGGTTTGATACTATTTTCAACGCAATATTTTAAAATAAAGTAAGAATCATATCCTTTAGAATAATGTGCGATAGCTGTATATCCTTTATGATCTCCAGAAATTAACCATTTGCAAAAATCTTCGTTGGTTTCGAAAGAATTATCATTTCCGCTAAAATCGTGAGATATAACTAAATTAGCGATGTGTTTGCCTGTTTCTTGCATTGCTTCATAATCAAAGAATAAATATTTCTCCGTATAAGAACATTTAGTTGTATGCTTTTTAGATCCACATTTAAGGCATTGAAAACTCTCTTCGCTTTTTCTTGGTATTTTAACACAATTTTTACAATCTTTACATTGATAAATGTGATATTTTATTCTTTTGTTTGTTTTATCAGGAATATCACAATTTTTGCAACTTTCAACTCGCTTAAATTTAATATCATGAATTTTGTATTGTAAAAAACCTTTTTCATTTTTTATCTCTTTTAAACCATTATAAGTCATAAGTAAATCATATTCTACCATATCTTCTATTATTTTATCTGCTGTTTTAGCAAATCTGTCTGGTAAAAACAACTTAAATTTACATTCGTCTTTGCCGATCAATGTAATTACATTTTTTTCTTTATTATCTTTACTTGTAAATTGTTCCCAGTTTGTTACGGTATACTGATGACCTATTTCTATCTCTTTAAGTGATAATGTTTTAAGTTGGCTAGGTTTTATTAACCTCTCGTTTGTTTTATCAGGAAAAGTTACTGTGCAACCTTTTCTACCACAATTTTTACAACCTTTTACTTTAMATTTATTATCACCGTCTTTCATTATTGTCTCACATATTCCGCCTTTTTGTCGTTTCAATTGCATATAACATCTATGTTTTAATATTTCAACTTCTTTATAACAATTTCGACATTTTTCCCGTCCACATTTGTGTTCTTTACTACCCTTTTCTATCATTTTGTTATATAAGGAAGGAATAAACTATGCAACAAAAATTGGTAATATCACCAAAGATATTGATCAAATCTTGATTCACTGCTCCCTAGTTCGACCTGAGACTAATGATCCATACGGTGTTTATGCGCATGGATGGGAATCCTTATCAATTGAAAGAATTTATAAACATGGAGATGTTTTTACTCTTGTGATGGGATCATAAATAATTAATTTTTTATAATCCTAATTTTGTAATAAATACCGTTTTTCTCTTAAAGTCGTTAATTTTAAAATATACCTTTAAAAATGTTTTCACGATTTTTTTTGCTTTTCTGCTTACCCTTGAAAATCGGGATATTTTAACGATTTTTTTTGCCTTTCTGTTAACCCTTGAAAATCGAGGTGATTTACCTTAAAAAGTGCTGTGTCTTGAACGGGCTTTTGCTTTTATCTATCTTGAAAATCGCGGGTGTTTTCCTTGAAATTCGGACGAAGTCCTCATGAGCGTAGCGAATTTTAACTTTTTTAACTACATGGAAAACCAGGGTGTTTTACCTTAAAAAGTGCTGTGTGCTGAAGGAGCCCACTGCTTTTCAGTTTACCCTTGAAAATCGGGGTGTTTTACCTTAAAAAGTGCTGTTATTTTAAACACAAAGTTATCTCCAGAAGAAGTGGAAAAACATGTGCATAAATTCTTAAAATTTTTAAAGTAATTTTTGCTCTTTTAGTACTTTTATTAAAATGCTTCGCATGTAGAAGACAAAATCTAGTTTCTAGTGTGTTAATAATTGGTTCTTATCTCTATCTAAGCCAAAAATCGGTTTGTGTTGAGCCGTTGTGCTTTCAGTTGTCAGTGGTGTTAAATACATTATTAATCATTCTCATTTGCTATCATCATCAATCACATTAATAATACATTAATATAAGTACTACATACATTTCTTTCAATTTCATTTTATTTTGTCCTTTCAAACAAGTATAGGCATTTAACATTTAATTAAGAAATTCATTATCTCATTTTCTTTAAGTCAGCACTTGTTATCTATTACAAACACTATTAGAATTTTGTTATTCATTTTCCTTTGTTTCACAACCGTGTTTAGACGCGTTCATCCACATACTGAGAGCTGTTCGTATTTGTACTGTTTGTATTTTAAATTAATAACAAACGAAAAATCAGTTATCGAAGACTCAATTCCATAACAGTTGAAATTATTCTATTAATTGCATTTTTGTGTTTTTTATTTTTATGAATTTGAGGTAAGTAATACCACTAGATCAAATATTACCTCAAATTAATTGGAATTATTATTTATTAGCCTCCTTTTAAATCAACTCTTTTCTGTATTTGCTTATCATTTCCGATAGCACAATGGAGCAAAAATGTTTTGGGGTAAAAAATTCACGCATAGAAGAACTAAGATTATTTCAGTTGGCTATTAAACACAGACGGTCAACAATGTCGTTCAGTACAACTGCTAAAATTTTCGCTGGTGAAGAGTTCGTTGAAAAAACAGTTACAGCGAGTCAACGAAAAATAACAATAAAACCATCTGATCGAATACTTGATATTGATAATTTTGTGCTTCCCAGACAACCACCGTGTGTGTTAACAGAAGAGACAGCAATAAAACTGCGTATGACCGACTATTTAAACATTACAATAAAATTTTCGACCATAGAAGAAAGAACAAATTTCATTAGAGCCTTGGGAGATTTGAACCCTTTGTAATAATGATTTAACAGTACTTTTCATTTTATGTTGTTTTATTCTTGCAATTCTAGGGAAAGCTCATGTGACTCTGACGACGACCAGCAGAATGCAGCAAATGGAATACTTACGTTAAACAAAAATGGAATGAATGGATGAATTTGTCGTTTAATTTAATTATTATAATACATACTTTAAATTAATGAAATAATAATGTACTTTCTACTTTTTTGCACTAAATTTAATAAATCCTTGAAAAATTTGTATTTTTAAAAAGTGTTCTGGAGGGGTTTACTAATTACACCAAATTCAAAACAGGGTAAAATCTTTGAAAAATGTTAATTTTAAAATATACTTTTAAAACGGGGGTGTTGTCACGATTTTTTTTGCTTTTCTGTTAACCCTTGAAAATCTGGGGTGTTTTCTATTTATCCTTGAAAATTGGGGTGTTTTTGTGCTTTTTTTAGATTACCTTGAAAACCGGGCTATTTTGCTTAATATTTTTACTTTTTTTAGATTACCTTGAAAACCGGGCTATTTTGCTTGATATTTTTTACTTTTTTTAACTACCTGGAAAATCGGGGTGTTTTACCTTAAAAGTGGCTGTGTACTATAAGGGCTCACTTAGTAGTCTGTTAGAAGAGCGGTGTTATAAGTAAAATCAAATAAAATCGTCTTTAATGAAGGTTGTCAGTTTATGTTAATTTTGTTTGAAAATAAATATTTTTTATTTAAATTTTATAACGCCACATGTTTCGTTCCTATCAACTTTTAAATATTTCGTCTGATAGGTTTACGAAGTGATAAATTCTTTCGCCGTTTCGGGACTTAATTTGTTTTCCAGTTATTCAAGCTTGTGGAAAATTCACCCAAACGTAATAAAAAGTTTCCATGCAAAATTAAAATTTTCTTTCTGAAATTTGGAAGCAACCTCAAAGTCACTTAAGCATAAGTATGTGAGAGCATTGGGTTATTTCTCCAGTAAAAAAATACGAGAAGTACTGATAAACTTTGGTTCTATTGTCTTGAATTCATTCAAAATTCCAAATATGATCTATAACATTTTGTCGCAGTTGTGTTGAGGTGGAAGGGGATATTTTTCAACATTCTTATCTTTAAGTGTGATTTATTTTTCCAGCTGTTATCTAGCGTCAATTATATGTCTGTATAATTATGTTACCGCACCGGTACTTATAATTTACTTGCTAAGTACTATAAATTACAATTTTTTAAAATTAGTTTGCAAATAACGTGCCATGTGGAGCAGTCACGCCAATTACATCAATTTTAATTAAATAAATATTTTGATTTGCTGTTAATTAACTTTGTGTAGGTTATAGGTGAGCATAACTCTCAGTTTGCGTAATCCTTGTTTACCTACACGTTGTAGTTTTTCCACGGCGGCGCTCTAAACCATATGTAACAATATCAGAAATTTCCCAACTCTTATCTCAATTAATTAATTTAATTCCCGTTTCCAAGATAAGAAATCCCTATCTAAACGTTAAAATGTGTTTTAGGAGCGCCAACCGAGCTGATGCCTAGTATTCTGGGCGCTTTGGACGCCATCATAGAAAGTAACAGAACTCAAAACGTGAATGCACCAAGAAAATCTCCGCAAGTCGGAAATTTTGCCAATCTTTCGCCCTGCGTTCAGAAGATTCTAGCCAACGTACCCGACCAAGAGCTCAACAAACGTTTCAACTCGGAAGAAACTTTGGGACCAAAACGCGGCAATAGGACGTCGATTTACAGATCACTGCGGTCGCCGGAAAAACACTTGAACAGAAGCAACGAGTCGCTGGATATTATTTCCCCGAATGTGCAAAAGATGATTTCGAATTTTCCGGATGCTGAACTTGTTTTGCCAACCAGTGATAGGAGTAAGCCTAGTCGAAACGGCTCGTTTTTGCACTCCAAGAGTGACGGAACGCCGAAAATTTCCTACCAAGATGAAGACTTTTGCGATGGCAGTAAATCGAATGGTGTGAATAGTGAATGTGATAGTTTGAGTGTTGGGGAAGTAGACACTTGTGACAGTTTCAAGAACAGTGACGGCTGTTATAGTCCCAAGCCGCTCGGATCGTACTTGCACACTTCCCACGGGATTGCTTCGAGGACGCCTGTCGGGAGGAAAAACATGGGGAAGTACCTCCAGGTATGGCAATATTCTCTTAAGCTAAAATTAGCTCTGACTTAATCTTATTAGCCTTCTATTGTTGGGTGATATTAAAATAAACTTCGCGCATGGTTATGTCATTAAAATTACATTTTTGTTTATAAATACATTGTTACTACAAAGACCAACAAATTGCAGAGGACGTTGTGATAAAGACTTCCTCACGAGGCTAAAGATAACATGTGTGTGCGATTGTCAACTTATTTTTCTTCATTTATTATCTCAGAGGAACCAAATGTGTAGGAGTGTATGTAAATATTTTAGTATTGTTAGCTGCAAATTTTCTTCTAATCATAGTGACGACTAAAGTCAACAGTACTTACATTAGTTGTGTAACGCATTTTGAAGGTAATTTTTTATGTATCATTGTTTAACTAGGTATGTTGGGAAAATAAAATAGGCGGAAATTAGAATCTAATTGAAAACACCAACTTCCTTTAATTTTTTACTTGTTTATATCGAGAGATCAACATAATTTGTAATCGAGTCATTCCGAAAACGTATGTCTGTCAAATAAAATGACAAGTTGAAAGGTAAAACGGCATAATAAAAGATGATGATTTAAATTACTAAATTTATGATTTACCTTCAAAAAAGAACTGTCCTATTATACGTCGGCGACTAATTCCAACCCATTTTGCTGTTTTACCTTTTGACTTGTCATTTTATTTGACATTTTACCCGCAGTTAGTTCAAACACAGACATACGTTTTCGGATCTAAAGATGATTCGATTACAAATTATCTTGATCTCTCGATATAATCAAAATATTCTCGCAAAATTGGAAATACTTTTCATATAAAATTAATTTTTCGTAATTGTATAAGAAAAAAGTGAATTTTTAACTATTGGTTAAATGTTGTAGATTTGTAAGTACATAGTTGAATATCATAATAAATAAATATTGCATTTTTTTACTATATGTATGTGTTTGAAAAAGACTTCTAGCCCATTAATATCTTATTGGGCTGTGCATAACTATGCTTAATTATTTTGTATTTTTCTATGAATTAATTTATTTTAATAGGCTGGATAAATAAATTTTCCAAATTTTATAATGAAATGCGTGATTTGGCAAATATATGATAAAGTTAATAATTTCTAGAATTATTTATTTATCTAATTTTTATTTCATTACCTGTATACCTATTATAATCATTTTTATTTCGATTGAGAAATATTCGTTTGAAAAATAGTTATTCCCAATGAGAGACTTATCGAAGGCTTCGTGGATGAATCATTTTTCCTCCTTTGCATATAAAAAAGGTGAATGTTTTAACAGCCTAATTCCACCGAATGATGTAGCACGAAACTTTATTATTTATTCAATTTTAAAAAAAGTAATAAAATTGTAAAACGTCACTTTACTTGTTTCAACTTAATGTGAAAATAATTATCAGTTTGAGTCATAGGAAGAAGCAATAAAAGTCCTCAAAGGCTTTTAAATTGCAAAACTTTCATGCACACACCTATAAATTAATTTTCCACGTTAAGTGAATATTTCAGAGTTTATCAAGCGTGCGTTTGCGTGAATACACAATACAAATATGTAGTCAATAAATTAAGAACAAAAGGTCGTTATTACGCTTCATAGTTGAAACGGAAATGGTTTACTGACTTAAATTTATTTCGTGGAGAGTAAAAGTTAGTAATTTTTACTATGGGTAACAGTTTTGACAAAAATTGTTGCAACAGGATTAGCCTCAACTCTTGTATTTTCCTTTCTCATGGGGTTCTGTACTTGCGAAAACCAATATTTCACGTTTCATCACATAAATCCCGGTGTCTGATTGGGCCCATAAAAGGAATAATTTGGATATAATCACGGCAAAAATTACCAGGCTATTTAAGGAAATGCGAAAGGCTGCTCCTCCTATAGCACACCGTTACTTAAATTACTTTATACCGAACATCAAACATCATTAGCGGTATTCTTAAGAACCGAAAAAATTTATACACAATGGCCCTTGATGTTATCAGTCTAGAAGAAACAACCATCAAAGAACAAATTGTCTTTTCTCAAGTTCTAAAGACGAATTTTTTTAATTTTCACATCTAACAATGAATGAAGAGTAGAGTCTTAATTGTTGCAGTTAATGGCAATTTGATGAGGTTAGGGGCAAATTTCCTGTCTTGTATGAATCAACGTGAGTCACTGTAGTCGTGAAACTTTAACTTAAACTTATAAAATAATGAAATTTTATTGATTTAACCTGTTTTTTTACATCAGTTGTACCAGTGCCTTTGTTATCTTTATATTTTTCCTAGTACTGATTGTGATAAAGGAGATAAGGGTTTTTGTAAAGGACTTTATTGGCACACTTCTTGTTTACCATCGTGAAGCTATGTAACTAAATGAACTATTTTAAATATTCACAAGATAAATTGTTGTGTAAAGGTACTATTAGTTCAGCTGTAACTAAGGAAAGCATAGAGAATCTGTAATTGTAACATGTAGACAGGATAGATAATAAACTTGTACATATTTGCTTGCTGTTTGCATTCCTTTGTTAATCTAACACAGTCACGCGTTTTGGATAGGGAAATTTTTTGAATAAATTTGATTTCGTTCACATTCACCGTGAAAATTTGCCCCTTCGCTCATAAACGTTCTTTTATTGCAATCAAGCAATGCTGAATTTTATTTCTTTCACCATCATTATGAAGTGGTATGAGCAAAATTAGAATTCAAACAGTCTGGCAGAATTAAGGCTTCCGTTTTGTTGTTCATTTAAAATATACTTGTTGCTATTTTGGCACATTTTATAATGAAACTAAATTTTAATTATATTCACGTCTCTTCATACATATTTAGCTTTACTTTTATAGATGTATTATTATGTTGGTCGTGCCATGTTAAGTAACTGTTATTTAGAATATTTCTTTCGTACATACATAATTACATATTGTTAAATGGACTGTCTACAAAGCTCCAATAGCTTGTTTTGTTTTGCTAACCATCAAGAATTCTTATATGAAAAGGACTAGTAGTTATTTCAAACATCTATTTAAGCTTGGAATGCTATTGTTAATTTAAACCTAATTTATTGAACTAATCTCCCAAAAATTATAATTTGAAGATTCACACAATGATTAATTATTATTATTAATTTGTAACTATTAATTTTTCTAGAATCCTCATGAACTTTTATCAGTTTAAAAGTGTTAAACAATGAAAAACCTTATGAGCATGAATTGCAACATTTTTGTTAACAAATAACAGATTTTTAGCACAAGTTGTTGCAGCAATTTATCTATTGTTCAATAAAAAATAAAATTTAATTTTGGATTAAGTTATCATTTATTTTACATTTGCCAATCGTCAAATTAATACCGGATTAAAATTTGCTTTCAATTAAATGTTATGTAAAATTGTCCTCAATAGAAAATTTAAAAAAATGATTACTACAAACTAGTGTAATTTTATTGAATTCGTATCACTGGAACGTACAATTACAGGGTTCAAATAAAAGTAAGATTTTATTAAGTGTAGAAAAAAGTGTCATACTTTTTCATCAAAAATAGGTGTTTTAAAAAGTAATTACCCTGGTTTCAAAAACTTTCAAACCTGAAAGAAATGAACGTTTCTTTCTCATTGACAAAGCTATTTCCAACAAACTTCTTGCAGGTTTGCAAGAGGATGAGTAAAATTAGCCACAGATAGTGATGAAGTTTTTGCTCTTTTTGCAGGTTCCGAGTGAGACAAGTGTGGGCACAAGCAGTACGACGTCGTCTGAAGTTTCCCGCCCTGTTTCACTCACAAGCCTAGGGTCGTGTTCTTCTAGTGGAAGCAGTGGCCCCCATCAACCCAATTCAGCATATCTCGCCTCGGCCGAAAGTCTCGACAGCGACCCCGAACCCACCGGAAGCCAAGGTTAGTTGAAAAAATCCGGATTGGTGTGCGGTGAATGGCAATGAAATCATCCGGGCATTTCTAAGAATCGCCGCGATTCTCTGAAAGATACTCTTCTTCGCGAAACAAGGGAAGTTGCATTTTATAGTCCGGATGGGGTATCTTTGAGCAACATCGTCAAATGTAATTAAATTATTCTTAGTACAACAGCTTTGCGTGTGACGCCAAAGGTTCCATTAAATTAGCATGCAAGGAAAAGATAATGCAGAAACTTGCCATAAACATTGTATCCTGGAGCTGTCTAAGGAGTAGACTTTATCAGGATAAATGTAGAGCCAGTTAAACGTATTCGTGCTTTGGCCTAGTGCATTTATTTGAGTGGTGAAATTTTCTTACATTTAGCCTATATTTAGATCTGCTTGGGAGGAAGCAGTTGAAAGGTACCAATTTATTAACACTACACTTTCAACAGAAAATTTCAAAGCAAGTGCAGAGCAGAACTTGTCTAGTCTGATTAAAATCAAGCAAAATTTTTATTCATTATGCAGTAAACAATAAATTAATTATAGGGTAATTGCTTAATTAATTTATCGATCAAAGTATTTTACATAAGATACTCGTAATTAATTTTCAGTCATGAATTAAGATGTTGCTTTTTTAAAACACATAATTATTGTATTAACTTACCTGTTTGATTTTCGTTCATAAGTCAAAAATAAAAATTTCGGTTTTTGAGACTTTATTTGTTTATAGAGAATTTTAATAAAAATAACTTGTGTAGAAGTAATTTAAGAAATTCTTTTTAATGGCGCTTTAAATAGTAATTAAATAGGAATAAAAAGATCACTGTTATGTTTATGTATACCCAATTTTACAAAGGGTAAGAGATTAATTTCAGCAGCGGAAAAAAATGTATTGTATGTCTTTCGTTCTTTGTCGGAGTATTGATAAACTGTTCCAAATCCTTAAACAAGGCTAAACGCACCACTTACCGTGCAACCCTGTTACAGGTTCGGCAGACAGTGGCATAGCAGAACAGCCAACAATGAGTCCTGAAGCTCGAGTTCTGCAGGAAGTGTTAGATACAGAAACCGTATACGTCGCCGACCTCAACGAGGTCATCCAGGTAGGTCTATCACATATTAATAATGTTTTCGCCATTGCGAACACTCTTGCATGACATCATAAATCATGAAGTGACGTCATTCATGTCGCTTGTTGTATAAGAAGTTTAAAACAAGAGACTTTAATGTAACAAGTGAGGAATGACATTGAAGCCTTTAATTATTTGTAAGAAGTTGGTTGCTTATTTACGCAAATGGTTGGTTTCCGTTTTGTTAATATTGAGGAGTAATCAGTGGCGTATGAGTAACTCGAATTTAATAAGTTAATAAATGATTCCTGCCAATTGATTCTCTGAAAACAACTAACGTAGCGCATTTATAACTGTATTGCAATTTTATGTTTTGTTTAGATTTATTTTTAGATAAATTATCGTCTTCTCTTAAACATTTAAAACGGTTATTTACGGAAGGTGTTTCTTCAGGGTACAAACTCGTTTCGAGTAATTTCAATAATTTCAAAAGTACTAGCTCAAAAACTTGTATTATTTAATTCAGTTACTTGCTGGCAGCCAGATAAAATTTTATACGATGTTGCAGATTGATAATTTTCATTTCGTTGATTATTGCAAAATTTTTATCAGTCTATTAGTCATCTTTCAGATTGTTTTTAGGTTTATAATTATCCAGCGATGATGACAAAACACGTCTACAATAATATTTTTTTAAGGGGTTAATTGTTTTTATTGTTATTTTAGTATCTTATTTGTTTAGCTATTATTTTTGATTCTATCGAAATCTGTTTGTTTATTGTTATAAAAATGTACATGAATGTAAATGTAAATAAATAGAAAATTACCTGCTGGCCCGGCAATTTTTTTAGACAAACCTTATTTGAAAGAAAAATGATTTTTTCATTACCAGCATTCATCAGCTTATGTAAGGTCAGTCCGGTTATAAAATCTTAAAACTTTATAGCGGATCGTTAAAAACTCATTATCTAACACATCCATTTATCCATTAAAAATGAAAATATGCACTATAACAAGTCATCCTAAGTAAACATCAATCATTTATCCTGCCACATCTCGTTTTCGTTCACTGCTAGCAATTATTAGTTACATCATAATCATTACTCCATCATTCCAATTATCCACTGCAAATAAACAATTTTTGAGACGCGACCTTCTAACAATTAAAAATTACAGATTTTTTGTCTGTGTACTTATTAAGACTTAAAACCCGTCGTGATACAACAGATAGGAACTGAAAAATTCCTAATAAGCGACCATGTTTGTATTTTAAATTTATTATAAGAGTAAATAAATTACTGTGCATGTAAGCGATAAGAGTGTTGTCACACATGAATCAGATTTTTTAGCTGTGGATAATGGTCGGAGCCGACGGGGATGACAAATAGCATTACTATCTTGTTAGCAAGACTATTGTTAAAGGGTTAAATGGGCTTTGCGGTTTCTTGTCATACTTTCATGTTTGCATTTGAAATTTGATCGATTCATTTGAGTGTTTATTTAGTAGATGAACGAAGAAAGCTCAACATTTAACTTTTCATCGAAGGGTCAAGTTTAAATAAACAGTGTTTACAGTAATGATAACAATAAAATCGACGAAAATAGGTGCGGCTATTTCACGCTGTATTTCATACTTTAAGAGACAAATAAACAAAATTATTTCCAAGATTCTATTCTCAGATGTAAGAAACAAAAGTATCTGTTCAAGAAATAGAACTATACTGTTAGAAACCGGCCTTGACTGTCTTCCGGAGATTCAAAACATGCCAATGACTCATACTCTGACCACAAATCCTCAGAGTTCGATCTCCTGCTGCCATTCTTCTTTATTAGAGAGTTATTACGCAATCAGTGTCCATTGAAGTAACCACATCTTATTCATCCGATTTCTCCTCCAGCGACCGGTATTTCACTTAGCGTCTTCATTAAGGCTTTGTTTGGCTCGGTGGCTTTATGGCTTTTTGATATTAACAAAGTCGAAAAAAACGTTTGAACATTCAGCAGGCCGCACATGTGTTACCTAATAAGTAAACTTCCTGTGTGGACATTTACGAGTTTCCATTTTTGCCACAATGGCCTCTTCATCAAGTTTTTCTAGTCGTAAAAAAACATGTTTTGTTTCTAGGGATATTTGGTACCTTGGAAAGAAGATCCCGACTGCTTACTCTCCGAACATTTACCTCACCTATTCAGCAACTTGGAAGAGATTTATAGATTTAACAGGTCCTTCCTCGATCAGCTTCGTGGCGCTGATTTCAATCCAACAAAAATCGCAAACGTCTTCATTCAAAACGATTCAGGTTTTGCCGTCTACAACGAATATTGTACTAACTATCCTCGCACAATGGAAGTACTAAGCGAATTGACTCGTGATGAAAAGATGGCCTCTTTATTTCGAGAGAAACAAATGGCTTTAAGTCATGCTCTACCTTTAGGCTCGTATTTACTCAAACCAGTCCAAAGAATTCTTAAATATCACCTTTTGCTCCAGGTTTGAATGCGATTTCCCCTTGGAAGGGGTTTGTTTTAATTAGATTTTTTGCAGAGGCTTTCAAAACAATGTGATCCGGACCATAAGCCGGCAGTAGATTTAGCTTTAGCCACAATGACTGCAGTCGCGTCAAGTATTAACTCGATGAAAAGAAAACACGAACATGCAGTTAGGGTGCATGAAATACAATCACAGCTTTATGGATGGACCGGTCCAGACCTCACAACTCTTGGCGAGCTGATCGCTGAAGGAACTTTCAGAGTTAATGGGGCTAGAGGTAGAAGACATGTGTTTCTTTTTGATAAGGTTTTACTCATGGCCAAGAATAAACAAGATGGTGCTTTAGCTTACAAGTCGCACATTGAGGTAAGTTGTTTTTGCTGCCAAAAATTAATCTAAGCTGAATCTTTCTTAGTGTTCGAATTTAATGCTTGTGGAACAAGTAAGAGGAGAACCGCTGTCGTTCCAAATTTTGCCTTTTGATAATCCTCGGTTGCAATGTACTCTTCGAGCGAGGTCACCTCAAAACAAACGAGAGTGGACTCTACAAATCAAAAGAGTCATTTTAGAAAATTACAGTGCGGTTATACCAAATCATGCCCGCCAACTGGTCATGCAACTCGGACAAGATGTTCAAGAAACTGGTCAGTTTACAATTACGTCAAAGAAAATTGATTTCAAGTTTGATTTTTACAGAAGATACAACGGAGAAATGGTCACCATTGAATAAAAATTCAACTCCTCATTATCTCGAACGTAGGTCAAGGGTTAGAAAATCTCGGGATTTGTCAAACCGTCGCGCTTCTTCGCAAGATCGAGCGTTCCCGTCTTTGGGAAGTTGGAGACGAAAATCTGAGCCCAGTATGGGTTTGATCCCGCAATACACCGCTAAAACCATCCCCAAGAAGATTTCAAAACTCAAAAAAGCCAAAGAAAGTGGTGCTAAATTCTACACGGACTTGTCTGATTCGGAGAATTACGACGTGATTGGGGAATCGAATGAAAGTTTGGCGATATCTGCGAACGTTGATACTCCCGACCATTGCGAAAACAGCAACGAAGAGCCTCCCAAGAGCAACAATCTAGAAAAAATTGTCACAGACTTGCTGATGCAAAATGAAGAATTCCACAAAGCTCTTAATCGGCAAAGAAGAACGCGGGCCAGTGAACCTGAACCGCCGACATGGTTTGAGGAAGAAGCCAGACCGAAGTTACCCAGTAAAGCGGATTCTTTGCCCAGATCTTTCCAACTCAATGATCAAATCGACGACGGTAAAAACAAAAACCAATATCATGCTTTGGATGAGTCATTGAAAGAGAATCCCGACCCTGATGAGCAACACGAAAAGTAAGTTGTATCGTAATTTCCCACTACGAAACTTATTGATTTTTTTATGTTGTAATGTTTGCAGTGATCTCGCGTCTCAACTCGATGACAACGAATATCCAGAACACAAAATATACCGCAAGACTGCCATTCGATTCAGTTTACTACAACGAATTCGGACACTCATGTCGGAGGAAGAAAAGCGCACTACGAAGTACCCCTTACATAAGCAAGGCTCAAAAAGCATGGGCGAGAAAATCGCACATCCCGATTACGCCGACCCGCAGAAACTTTTCAACTCATGTAGTTCCAGCAGGACGAATTTAAGCGTGGAGCTGTCGGAATGTGAGATGATGAAGGAACCGGAACGGTTGGATATGACAATAAGTGAAAAAGAAGTACTTAATGAATTCGAGAAGCGCCTTAATAATAGTACAAAACTTGTACCAGACACGGGCCAAGATGTTTTAAATGTTTCTAGTCAAAGCGAGTTGCTAGAACAAGAAGAGTCTACTGAAAATATCAATTCTAGTCAAAATTCGGATAGTTATTATGAGAGTATACTCGACAAGAGTTTAGTTGAAGAGTATACGAAAGACGAGAATGGTAGATTAGTTGCCAAACAAGATAGCTTTAAAGGTAACGAAAACTGTTTCTACATTCATAAATTCAGAGCTTCGGAAAAGGAAGGTTATTCCCAAGTGAAAACACTAAGGGAAGTGAATGGCAACAGCATTGAAAAGAAAACTACATACAAAAGGCCCACCAAAGCTCCTCCGCCCATTCCCGTGAAACCTAGTAGATTGGTTATCAGTACAAAGAACATTTCAAACGTAATAATGTCAACAGAGACAATAAAGTCTGGTACAACTAATATTCAAAAAATTTACATAGATCAAAGTAAAACAAATGCTGATATAAATCACGAAACTAGAAATGTTAATGTCAGTGAGAAGAGTTGGGTGAAGACAATGGTTGGACGATTCGAATGACATTTCAAAAATTCATAATCAAACTTTCCCATGTGCTATATGTGGCTGTTCTAGTTTTATTCTTGTTCGTTTGAAGAGTGTGTTTGTTTATATGATAGTTGATAAAATATTTATTTTTTAATACAAAACAAAGGAAATTATTGTAAAGTTTCAACTATTTTTCTCTATGGTTAAAAATGTTACGCATATTAAATTTACCATAGTAAATTAAATGTGCCAAATGGGTCCTTATTTTCAGGATCTTTTAAATTATTATTTGTTAAAGGTAGCACTAATTTTGTAAAAATATCAATAAATATTTTAAATCTTTATTTCTTGTTTTGTTCCAAAACCAAACAAATACTCATTACAAGTCCGCAAACAATTACGGCTGCATGCGTAAAGCACCATCCAATCTAATAGTCTCCCCATTCAACATGGGATTTTCGATGATACACTGCACCAAGTGAGCAAACTCTGCTGGGTCTCCCAATCTTGACGGAAACGGTACAGATTTTTCCAGAAACCTTACAACTTTATCTGGTAACGCCGAAAATAAGGGTGTTTTGAACAGGCCTGAATTTGAATTTTGTTAAAAAAATTACGCAACACAAAAACTAATTACCAGGAGCTATGGTCACAACTCTTATTGCCTGACTTGCCAAATCCCTAGCTATTGGTAAAGTCATTCCTACAATTGCCCCCTTACTTGCAGAATAAGCCGCTTGCCCCATCTGTCCTTCATAAGCAGCCACACTAGCCGTGTTAATGACCACCCCACGTTCACCTCTTTCGTTTGGTTGGTTTTCGCCAATAAGTCCCACGGCTAATCTAATTACGTTAAAAGTGCCAATAGTGTTTATCTAAAAAAAACTTTAATGTCTTCACGTAAAATATAGAGTGTCCAACATACGTTTATAACTTTGGTAAAATCCTCCAAACCGTGTGCAATTTTCTTGTTAAAATTATACGTTTTGAAAGCAACTCCAATGCCGGCACAGTTAACAACATTGTCGAGCTTTCCGAATTTTTGTTTAGCTAAATCTAAAGCTGATTTAACGTCGCTTTCGGATGTTACCTGAATGAATAATAATGAATGAATAGTAATGAACTTTAAACGTACAAGAATCATATTTACATTAACAGGAGCGAACAAAACTTTGTCTTCTCCAAGGGTTTTTGCAACTTCTTGACCCTTTGACGACTGTAAATCGCAGAGAACAACACGACTTCCTTGTTGCACTAGTCTTTCAACAGTTGCTTTTCCCAACCCAGATGCACCCCCAGTCACCAAAGTCACAGCGTTCTACAAATAAAAAGAGCTATAATAAAATAAATCATTTTTTATAAAAACAACAAAAACACATTTCCTTCGCCGTCGGCACTCCCCGGAAGAAAAAAATATCTTTTTCACTTTGTTAAACAAATAACCCTTAATGAGAGAATAGAAATTTAGGTGGAAGAAGTTCTTTTTTACCATTGACAATTTTTATTTTTGAATTTATTTCATTAAGTGCTGTAATACACAATACAGCAGAGTAATGCAAATTGCCAATCCACACATTCTTAATCTTAAAATTATTGTTCCATTCGAACATTAATTACTATTTATACGAATAACAATTATTTTCTAATTACACACTTTTTCATTTTATTTTTTTCATTAGAGAAAAAGAATGAGAGGTGACAAATTACATAACCTCAAAAGTCAGAAACGTCGAGAAGTTGAAAGCAGTTTAATTAATTTGCCTCAAGTTCCAAAAAATATCAATCCATTTTGCACTATTTGTACTCCTACATTTAAACCAAAATTTAGGTAAGCAAAAAATCAATCACTAGGTAAACACGTTTTTAAATCAAAGACAACAATCATATTTATTGCAGTTATTGTGATAAACTTACCTTCAACATTTTGTTCAGTTTCAAAACAACAACTCACTTAATAAATCTTTTATGCTTTTGCCTTGTAATTGTTGAAAAAACGAAGAACAAAGGTCAGATTATTATTCAGTGTTGTCATAAAACTAACCAAACTAAAAAACAGCCATGTTATTGCTGTAATAATTATGCCTTGTCTTATCAGTTTTGTGATTATTTCTTGTTATCATTTCATTTCGAGAAAGATTTTTACAGGAAACAATGGCTTTGGTATCATATGATTATGAAAGTGGTAGTGATAATGAAGAGCAGGAAGAACCCTCCAGTTCTTCAGAAGTTATAATCAATAAAACAAAAGATAAAGAAGAGAACAATGAAGAAACAACTGACAACAATGAGCTACCGGAAATACTGTCACATCTTCCTCAGACGAAATCGACACCATCGACAGTTAATGTAACAGAAGATAAATTAGAAGACTTTATTCCTAAATATGAACCTCCCCCCAAAGAGAAAAAAACTCAAAAAGTCAAAATAACAATTCCAAAATTATCAGATTTCGAAGAAGATGAAGAGGAACCAGAAAAGAAGAAAAAGAAAACCGCTGCAAAAAACAGCGGTTTGTTATCAATACTGCCACCTGTGAGAGGTTCACCATTGTCCACCAAAAGTTTTGTACCTAACGTCTTAAAAAATAAGCCTCCAGTTACTGAAAAATCTAAGGCAAACAGCATGGTTCCCCAAGCGGTAAAGAAAAACGCAGAAATGGCCAAAAAGGCCGTAATTAAGAAGATTACAAAGGGTTCAAGCAGTGACATCGAAAGCGATGACGATATTGAAGTACCTGAAACGTTTGATGACGAAATGTGGCAGAAAGTTTGTGGAAGAAACAATAAACCTAAGCCTCAAGTCGTAAAGGCTGAAGAAGTTCCAGTAACTCCAGTAATAAACATAGCTCCAGAGCCAGAAAAACCTTACGACGGTTTAGATAATGCTGCTTTTAAAGAGTTGGTCGGAAAGGCCAAACGACCAGTTAATATTAAACTTGTGGACATAAATGAAGAAGAAATATTGCCTGACAAAGAAATCTGGATGACCAAATCATTAACAGACCCTGACAGTGCTCCTAAACCAGTCATAGAAGAACCAGTCGATCCCACAAGGAAGAAGAAACACCACATTACATATTTGGCTGAACAGGCGAAATTAAACGAACAAGAATTTCAAAGTCAATGGTCCTCAAGTAAATACGCTCGAAATCAAACACGGGCAAAATACGGTTTTTAATATTATATACCTATGTATTAATAAAGATTTTACATTAATTGTCCTATATACTCCGCTCTTTTGAGTTTTTGTTTCAAACTTGACCACTGAACGAGGAAATTATCAGCAAAATACATCAGTATTTTCCCGGTTAGTGAAAAAGTTTCAGTCCTGCAAAAACTCTCAATAAACACTATCCTAGCATTAAAAATAAAAGCAGCCTTTAGGAGGAAACTTAGTAGACAAATTGGAATACAAGTGCCTGGGCCATTACATAAAATTAAGTCAGGTTTCAATTTGAAAACTAAAGGAATGCTATAAAAAATTGAATATAGAGTTGTAAAAACAGATGTGATATAAGACTGGCCCACAACTCGACTCCTGGGAATTTCAATAATTTTATAATTGTTTTGATTTTTTGCCTCTTCAAATGTTTTTACTTTCATATAACTAGTTTTGTCTGTTTTTGCCATGATGTAATATCGAGGGCAATATTTAGTAAAATCTAAGTTAGTCATAAGTGTTAACATTTCAGTGGTGTGGCCTCCTGAACCAATGCAAATTATTGTTCTGCAGGGGGCAACCCGTTTATTTGACGCCTCTCGACTAAAGCCGGTTGTTATCTTATGAACCAGATAAAAGATCCTAGCAAGAATTAAAACAGCACTTAAAATTGCCAATTCAATTTTTAATTGATCTGAAAATAAAAAACTAAATTATAATTGAAAGCGACATTTGATTTTAGCTTACCTTCCATGTTTTCTTGTCTTGTTTTCGATGACTTCTGCAAAGTGGAAATGTTATTTTGATTAATAATTATGTAAATACATTTTGTAAGAAAAGTTATTACCTACATTAAACCATTTGATTGTTTTTGTCAGCGCTTAGAATAATTTTTTGTGGGAAGAGCACATTACTATGGGGCGAGGGGGTTAGCAGAGCCCACTGGGGCACAGGAACCACAGAATGACTCTTCCTGGGACTCGGGGGTTAGATTATCAGCAAAACATCGGCGTTCGGCGCACGCGCCACTGGTTGGTGCTCTAGAGGTTATATTTTTGGTTTTTTCTGTGTTTATAGCACTCCTTCCGTTCAAAAATGAATTGACCCTTACCTCATTTTGCATTCATTATTTTCTTTCTTAATTGGCGTGAAAATGTCTAAAGTGAAAGTGAGTAACGAATGGAAGCGTCACGTGAAGCAAGAATACATCCGTTTGAGACAACAAAAGAGGTTCAAAAGAGCGGATGATGTGAAATTAGCATGGAACCAAAACCGGATAAAAATGACCGAAAGGCTGATCGCCGAACAAAAGCGGTGGACTGAGACTAAAGCCTTCTGGGTGCCCTTGCCCGAGATCCCATCGCATGTGACTTGTATGAAAAAGGCGGAAGTTATCGGGAATGAAGGTTGTTGTTCTGATAAGAGAGTGTCTTCAAGATACTATTTTAATTTTAGGCGATATACAGGTCACTCCTATTCGAATAATCAACGCGGTGACACCCATTCCGACCATGTACACGTGGGCCCCCATCCAACAGAACTTCATGGTAGAAGACGAAACTGTTCTCCATAACATTCCATACATGGGCGATGATTTATTGGACCAAGATGGAACTTTCATCGAAGAACTCATCAAAAATTACGATGGGAAAGTACATGGAGACCGCGAATCGGGATTTATCGACGATGAGCTCTTCGTGGAGTTGGTACACGCGTTGATGCAATTCCAAGATAACGACAAGGGGGAGAAAAAAGACAAGGACAAGGAAAAGACCAAAGAAGAGGAAAAGAAGAAGGGTCTTGATTTTCCAGCGTTTATTATTTTCCAAGCGATTTCATCACAGTTTCCTGATAAAGGGGATCCAGAAGAGTTGAGGGAAAAGTTTGTTTTCTTTGATGTTCACTTAATACATTTTTCCTAACATAACTCGTTTAGGTACATTGAATTGACTGAACGCACCGACCCCAACGCGCCCCCTGAATGTACCCCAAATATAGACGGACCAAAGGCCGCCTCCGTACCTAGGGAACAAACTATGCACTCATTTCATACTTTGTTCTGTAGGCGATGCTTCAAATACGACTGCTTTTTGCATCGTAAGTTTCTAGTTTTTGAATCAATAAATTTAAGGGTTTTGGGTCTATTAGGACATAGTTTAAGCGTAGAACTCAGAACGTGTGGGATTTAGGTTGATATTTTTGTTTTGCTGCACTTTAGGAGAGCAAGGTAAGGTCCTTAGACCTGTTCGCATTTCGTATTCATCATTGTAGGACCATTGAATAATATTGGCGACATGACTGTTACAAAAAATCGCTTTAATGTACATTAATTTGATCACTTGTGATCAAGCGCAGGTGTTGCACTCGTGGAACATGTTTTAAACGTTCTACAAGTGCACCTGTTGCACATTTTATCGCTTGCAATATAATCATTGTTCATGTAAAACCCCTATAACAGGTTCTAGTTTATTCTGATCATAATAAATTCTCTTCCCAGGTCTTCAAGCATGTCATCCAGGACCTAACCTACAGAAACGTCGTGGTCCAGATTTGAAACCTTTTACGGAGCCTTGTAGCGCTGATTGTTATATGCTGCTGGTAACTTTGTTATTTTCCTTTGATATATTTTGTTGAATTAATAATTTTGAAGGAATCTGTTAAAGAAAGGATGGCTGCAAAAGCCAAACAAGAAGAGGAAGCCAAAGGTAAGTCAGTTACAGAAGCTGGTTCTTCCACAGAAGCCAAAACAAATGGGAACTCGAATCCTCGAAAAGTTTGCAAGCAACAGAGTGTTGATTCTGGGAATGAAGCGAGTTCTGAAGATAGCAATGATAGCAACAAATACAAAGGTAAAACGAATTTTTATAACCCAGTGATCTGTAAGTTTTTCTATTTGCTTATGTTAGAATCCTACTGATGATGTCAGGTATCGTTCTAGAATGTGGCAAGAATTACAATGTTGTAATGATAAAATTTCTAAACTATCGTCAAGGCGACTTTTATACTGTTGTCATTATTTAATGTTTTTTTCTCATAATTATGTTTTTCAATTTTTTAAATTTAAACTCAATTGGATCTAATATTTATATAATAATAATTATAATAATATTTGTGTATTAATTGCTGGGAGTGCAATAACATTTTTTTACTGTTTACATTACGTTGTTATCATTTTATTTTAACGTTCTAATGTAATTGAAGCGATATTATGAAACATTGGATTTTTACCTATGTACTATTTGCAATATGCAAATATAAAATTGCAACATTTTTATTATCTCTGAAAAATATAAAAATATTTTTATAGTGAAACAGATTTGCAAAGATTTTTTTTGTTAATAAATACATTTATTACGGGTACAACAAATTACATACTTCATTTGAAATTAGTTGAAATTTGCTTGTTTTACAGAAAAATAATGAGCAATTAAAACTGCGATTATGAGTCTCACAATTAAAAAATTCTGTAAAAATTGAAATTTGTGTTTTTATGGAAATCAATCATTCTCTTGAAAGCATTTTTTTAATTAGTTTTTAACTTCAAAAGCAAATACATCATAAAACTTTTCTTACATAGAAGACAATTCACAATGATTATTAATTGTTTAATTTTTTATACTCGTAATGAATTAGTTTTTTTGGACACACTTTTATACTTTATGCAGAGTGAATCAAGCTTTTATTGATTAATTTATTTTTATTTTTGAGTTCAGTGTTTTATAACTTTTTGTCACGGTCTTTGTTTAGATTTCTTTGAACTCTCTTGTTTCAGAGTTATCACTTTTTTGGTTTTGAAAAATTCGTTACGCTTTGATTAGAGAACAAACTTTTTCAAGATTGTCGGATAAATTCTAATCGATTTCGTTTTATGTTTGGATTATAACTTTGGAAGTTATTTTCGAAAAAATGTTTGTTTTACAAAAACTTGTAAAACTAGACTAGACTTGTTATTTTGGAACAAAAGGCTGTCTTAAGGTCAGTTTCCACAGTCACATTCTTAAGAAGTTTTTGGGTTATAGAATTATGAACAGTTTAATCAGAAATTACTTACTTTACTTACCCTTTTAAATTACTCGTACTTTATTTAAAAATGGTACTTTTTAAGGGATAGACAAAATTGCTAAGTTAGGTAATCATATAAATAATTTTTAAATGATAAATGGCGTTTGTCTCAAAAATATAGTACCTCAAATTTGTATAGTCCTACGTATTCTTCAATTTTAAGTGGTATATAATAAATTGCCGGAAGTTAAAATTAACTTTCTCTGTCTCAAATAGGAATTACATTTTTTTTTGCTTTGGTCTATTTTTAATCTTTAAACAGATTCAAACGACCAAGACCAAGTGTCGACAACGACTTCATTCAGTCTCCTCGGCTTGATGGGTGCCAACGACCACAAAGAGTGGACCGGCTCCGACGAAAGCCTCTTCCGAGGCCTCCACAAAATCTTCCTTAACAATTACTGCGCTATTGCTCAAATCATGTTAACCAAAACCTGCCAACAAGTGTACGAATTCGCCCAAAAGGAAGATGCCGACATTCCCGATGAAGAAGCAATGCGAGACTACACTCCTCCTCGAAAAAAGAAAAAGAAGCACAGACTCTGGTCAGTCCATTGCCGAAAAATTCAACTCAAGAAAGAATCGAACAGTAATCACGTCTACAATTTCACACCTTGCGACCACCCGGGTCAGAGTTGTGACACTCAGTGCCCTTGTATCGGGGCTCAGAATTTTTGCGAGAAGTTTTGTCAGTGTAGTTCCGACTGTAATTATTATGCTGTTGTTGGAGGAATTTTGGATTGGTTTGTTTTTTATAGGCCAAAATAGGTTTCCAGGATGCAGATGCAAGGCTCAGTGTAATACTAAGCAGTGTCCTTGTTACTTGGCGGTGAGGGAATGCGATCCTGATTTATGTCAGACGTGCGGAGCAGATCAGTTTGATATAAGTAAAATTACTTGTAAAAACGTCAGTGTCCAGAGAGGATTGCGTAAGTTTCACAAATATGGAATTATAGGGTGACAGCAATGGCGTCTTTTATAGATAAACATTTATTGATGGCGCCGTCGGATGTTGCTGGTTGGGGAATTTTTCTCAAAGATAGTGCACAGAAAAATGAATTTATATCAGAATATTGCGGCGAGATTATTTCCCAGGATGAAGCTGATCGCAGAGGGAAGGTCTACGATAAATATATGTGCAGTTTCTTGTTTAATTTAAATAATGGTACTTTTTTATTATTTTTATCGTGCTTGTTTATGTGTTTTTTGATTAGATTTCGTCGTTGACGCTACACGAAAAGGAAATAAAATTCGTTTCGCAAATCATTCAATTAACCCAAATTGTTACGCTAAAGTTATGATGGTTAATGGGGATCACAGGATTGGGATTTTTGCCAAACGCGCTATTCAACCAGGCGAAGAACTTTTCTTTGATTACAGGTATCTCAAAATTTTTCCTTTAATGATTACTATTATGAAATTTATTTCAGATATGGCCCAACCGAACAACTGAAGTTTGTAGGGATAGAACGTGAAATGGAATTTTTGTAACTGTTCTTTTTAATAAATTTTTTCATTTATATCTGCTTTTTTTTACAAACCACAGAATAAATTTACTCACCACTTTTTAATTAAATTTAACTTCTTCAGGCTATAGTCAAATGAAACTCAATACATATATTGTTTAGTTAGTGACAGTTAATATTAAAACATCAAAGAAACAATTTTTACATTTTTAATACCGCAGTCTGGACACCCAACTCAACTTATTTCACCTGTTGTAGTACTTTTTCTGAGGAAATTTCGTGTTATAATCTTGTTCCACTATTGTATCAGCAAAATTTCGACTCTTAGACCCTCATCAAGGGTACGGAAATCCTCAAAATAGAGGATGCGATCAAATCACATCGCAAAATCGCGAAACTCAACAGTGCTGTTCCACCAGTTGCTGGCCGGCCAGCGCCGGTATCGGTCGTGTTTGCGGTTTGGTTCGAGCGTCGCGACGAGACGCGTCTCTCCGAATTTTTATGATTCATTCTGACAGTGTCTAAACAAGACAAATCTACGAAAATGCAAGACCAAGGTAGGAAATTACTGTCTTTTCCCTCTTCAAAATTTTTCGTTTCATTCGATACACACGTGTTAATGTTATTATAACTTTAATTATTTTTATAATGCTGGTCAATAAATAGGCAAAGACACTATTAATAGAAAAGCGACGACAAATGTTTAAGAGCGGCACCAAATATTTATTTTTTTAACTTGTGGTTTATACATCTTTTTGAGGGGTATTAGCATCTGGGTTATTAATAGTCACCTTCTAGCCAATTTATGCGGCAATAATCGTAATCAATAAAAAAATAAATTGATTTGATCGGGTGATGACACGCTAAGAAATATGCGTTTTTGACTTGACCTATTTTCATTTACAGAATATTTGGAGAAGCCAATATTTTTCTTTGATTGGTATAAAAGCGACCAAATTGCGGCCAGTGACGACTATTTCTTTCAGTACTGCATCATCGTTACCAATTTTGTCTAGAAAATGTTGACAGATGTACAAGAATGTTAACAGAAATTGTGTTTACTTAAACTTATCTACGGGTAGTGTTTGTAAATATTTTATTCACAATATCTGCACTGGCAAATTATATTAATATTTTTGGGTCATTTAGTTATGGCTCTAGTTTGGAAAATTTTGCATAAGCACAAATAAACACCAATGTTTTTTTAACTGGAAGTAAATGAACTTTAGAAACATCCATCAACTCGAAATTCTATAGATGTTAAAGATAACAATTTTTGTTAAATATCATATTTATAAAGCCATGTTGCGTGAAAACATGATAAAATTGTATGAAATATAATACTTTGTAAAAATGGCATAAGGGATTGCACGCAACCATAAATAACTATATAGCTATTTTCCTCATCGGTGATCAAGAAGTGTATCCCAATGTAAAACCAATTTTAATAACGGTTAAAAAATGTTACTTTTATATTTTTTACAAATGGACTTTAAAGACTTAAAAAACTCATGAAATTTTCTTAGATGGAGAATTTTTTTATTTAGACGACATTTTTTTAGAAAAAAAACACATTATTTTGCTTGAGAGTCAATCTCCTATCCACTTCTGATTCTGACATTTTTTTCTTGTTTTGTAATCATGTCCTAAACTTCGAATAATTTGCCCTGAAATTTCCCTTGCAAATCCGTCTTGGTCACTACCCAGCCTCCAATGTTTCGCCACCCACTTTCCTAACATCGATGTAAATAATTACATCAACTGTGCAACAGTTTGCACTTGAAGTTTACATTAACGAGCCCCCATTGGTCGAAAACATGAAAGCGGTGGAAGTGACGCGGAAGCTCCTCATTGTAATGTAACATCCACGAATTGAAGCAACACTAAACCGGAATGAAACGAATCGACCGCAAAATTTACCTACCGTAAAATCGTAAACAAATCTTCAGGGAATTCTTGTGAAAGATGAAGAAACTAATATGAATTTCACGATTTTATTCTACAACTGGTTTGTAGAAATTTGTATTATAAAAATCTAACCAATGCCAAAAATGAAAAATGGCTTGCAGACTTGATCAAGTAGCAGACACGATTTAATCATCGCATCGGTTTGACGGGATGAGATATATCTGAAAAAAATCAAACCGTGTTATCGAACCTTTTGATTAATGATAGCAAGACATGATCCATGTGTAACTTAAATCCACCTTTTTTGTTGTATTTTTGTAAAGGTGTCTAAATCAAAATGTTAGATTGAAATTTAATATTGATCGAATTATGAAGACGAACAAAAGAAAAGGAGAAGCAAATGAAAACTGAGCTTTTTTCAAAGATATTTTTAAAATAATTAATTATTAAAACGTAAATGTTTTAATATAAGATTACTTTTTTTGATGAAAAGTATAAATACGAGATAAATAAAATAAATAATGATTCAGCAATTCTTGACACATCTTTTGTAATTTATGTGTTCTTTTGAAGCACAAAAGTTATTTAAATGTTTATGGAAATTGCTGTGTACTTGTGAACATTGCTCTAATATATGCGAAAAGAGGAGTCTATTTTTCAACAAAATTAGACTTCATTTACAAGACAAAATGCAAACTATGTCAGTTCAAGGCAAAAACCCAGCTGTTATAAAATTTTTTTCTTTGAGAAAAACTCGAATAAAATAACAAGCAAAGCATAACACACTTTAATAAAAATTTGCTAGACTGGGTGGGCGAACTAACCATTCTGGTTCCTTTTCAGGTAATTGTTTGGGAATTAGTCTAATCATACAGTTGGTTTAAGCTAGCTATATGATATTAAACCCGCTTTAATTAAAACACTAGCACCCATAATAATCGCCTGTATGCACCCTGAAGGCGGATTAAGACGAAGAATTTCAATTAACACAAACACCATTAATTAGGATTTAATCGTAACGGAAAACTGTTTAATTAAGGCCTCCGACATGTGTACGGATGGTCTCTTAACCCTCGACTAACTCTCTTGATGATTAATCATTTAAACCGTTGGAGTACTTTTCTTGTAATCGCTTCAACATCAAAATGCAGATTTGTGTAACATGACTAACGGGAAATGGAAATTTTTGATGGTGCAGTGCGTCACTTGATAGGGGCTGCACGCAATCCCGCGACTTAATAAAATTAAAAGTGTTTCGAGGAGCCACAGGTGAAAATGCTAGCACGCGATGAATTGCAAACTCTAGATTTTGGGGAAAAACTGAATGCATCGTATTGATTGGATGACTCAATACAGGTCATTATCGGCAAACCACACAAGTATCGATTCAGATGGCCTGAATTAGAGTTAATGAGAAAGAGTATTGCAAGCTGTCTTATTTCTGATTGAGTTTCAAGTTCAATTGTTGATGGACTGATGGTTGCCATTTTTAAACTTTGATTTTATTATTAAAATTTGACTTGCAAATCACTTTTTCTTTTCACAGAATTTTTGAAAATAATTACGAAAAATGTTTATTGAAATGAAGGAAAAATTAATCCTAGTAAGATTAGGTCCAAGACCAGCTCTGAATACCACTTTAACCAAGTCGATGTCTGGGAATGTCAATTTACATGCGGTAATAATTCGACAATTTAGTTTTATACACTACCGCTTTGCGGATATTGCCAATATGTTGCCAGGGTCGGGAAAAAGCTTAAATTATTTCAGTCAAACTTTTGAGGATCGATATATCAATTTTTTTTTAAGTTTTATTTTATAATGTCTCTTCAATGATTGTTGCACATATATTAAATATTATACAACTCTTAGCAGTCGTATCATCATTTTCTAAAAATACAGAAAACAAATTATCATCTGGTTATTTTCACGCTTATTACAACGTAAATATTTAATAAACTTCGATATTCCATGGCAACCCTGTGAAGAAACAACCAGGTGCTCTAATTTCATCCTCAATTTAACTTTTTTATTTTTTAGGTAAGACTACGTTTATCAGAGTACTTTAGTAAAAAGTGTAACTTTTTACACTCTTCCATTTCTTAATAAAAAGAAATTTAGCGTTAGGCTTGGATGCAACCTTTCTTAGGGTTACATTTAAAAGGGTACAGTGTTTGTCTAAGCTTTAGGTGTGGTTTTAATAATGAATTTGTGACTTCTTTCGACTTTATATGAAATGAAATTAATTTTGTTTGCAACAATGTAAATATTTAAATTTGACTAATTTGCTACACATTAAAAGTGAACAGTTTTGAGTCAGGAATTTCATATTTGTTGGATTAAAACGCTCGGGATATCTGCGATGATGCCGAGTTTGCTTTGAGGCCTAGCTAATTATAGCTATCAAAAGCCAAGCGATGTGAGGCGACAATACTACAGATATAGAATTCTCCCTTTGGCACGTACACATTTTAATTAATCGAGATTCTTCAAATCAATGTTGAATATAAGAAATGCAAATCGCAAATAGTAGGGAATCTTTCCCAATTGCAATATTGGGGTTATGTTTGCTAATCTCTATTATTATCATCTACGATTACTACAGCGCGGGATTTTATTTATGGATCTATTTTCGTCATTAAAAGTTTGTTATCTCTTGTAGAGGACAATATAATAATATAGACTTGACTAACTAATGAGTAATGACACTGTATTTATTAGTTTGATCAAGCTTTAGTTGTGACGCAAGGAAAGAAGAAACTTAAATTGCAAGTTTTAAATGGCAAGAAGAATTAAGTTACACTTTTATTTAATTAAAACTGATAGGTATTTGTTATAAACAATACATTTTTGTTAAAGCTACCAAAAAACTCATTCAAACCTGTTATTATGTAGAAGTATGATTAATGTGGTCAGAGCAAATATTTTTCGAAAATAGTGAGCTTCGTATTTTAATTATACCTACCATATTGTAACCAATTTGTTTTAAAATTAAAATACGATGTAGCTCGTAGCTGTGTTTGGAAGCATATACAAAAAACAGGTAAGGAAGTATAAATTTATCGATATATTATTCGTATTGAGGAAAAAGGAAAATATTTGTGTCTTACTGAAATGCGACATTAGTCTCTATTCATAAAACTATTCCGGTCATCAGTGAAACAGGAAAAAGAAACTTCACTTCTACATTCACATCCTATAAATTTTCTATAAAGGGCACAAATCGAATAAAGTGTACTCAGCGGACCTCATCAACGTGTTGCACGGCTCCACCGGAATTTAATTCGTCCTACTTTCTGGAATAAAGTTTTAGGAATATTTTATGACCCATTGATGTGATTTTCTCTTGTGAAAAAAATATTAATGTGGATTTTTTTCTTGATTGATTGAGAGATAATTAATCCATTTTTGTCATATGACGTTAATAACAGGCTCTGAATAAATTATCTGCTGTTGCCGGTCTATGTATGTTAGAGATAATTGATATTTATTGATATCAAATGATATTTAGTGTATCAACACCGTGGAGTGTTTAATGATATAGGAAGTCTGCACCTGTTCATCATTCAAGTATTTATTTATTGAGTTTCTCATAGATTAAAAGGATCATATTTTTAGTGCTTTAAATTTTCGTGTATATCTCTCCTGT